TTACATTATTGACTCTCAGAGGTTATAAATACCTTCCTATACACGAGATCCAAGGGGGGAGAGCAGAATTAGAGCATAGAGACTTGAGCTTTTGGCGATTTGAAGGAAGAAAGAGAGTTTTCATCTTTCATAAGCAGCTTTTGGTGATTCCTAGAGATCTAAGCTCAGACTTGATCTTTGAAAGAGTGAACATCTTACATCGATAATATATTCGCTTAAGATTCTTACTTCGATAAACGAAGGAAGAATCCTCAAAATCTTCATGATTCAATCAGGATCTGGTGAATCGGTGGTCCACGAGTTAACGCATTCCCGGCACAGGCAAAGTCCCCACAAAAGCAGGAGTTGATAAACGATTTCTGTCTTATTTTCTAAGAAGTTGTAATTTTCTTCTTATTATGTAAGAGATGTCTTATAAAAAGGCTATCTTCTTTTGAATTCATTGTAAATAATCAAAAATATAATGAATTCCACAATGAGACCAACTTTCGACGAAAACAAACGGGAGCTGCTAAATCGGAAGGTCGTTGCTATGATTCGTAAGTATATTGATAAAACTCTCTTTGAACATGTTTCTACTTATACAAATGCTTATGAATTATGGACAAATCTTGAGTCCATGATTCAAAAGAAAACGCCTCGTAATAAAACATATTTAGTTCGACGGTTGGTAAAGTTGGAGTATAAGGATAGTCAAAGTATGATTGAGCACTTGAATAATTTCAAGGGGCTCATAAATCAACTAACAAAAATTAACATGAAGATTGATGATGAGTTACAAGCCCTTCTACTCCTTAGTTCCCTGCCAGAAAGTTGGGACACTCTTGTCGTTACACTTAGTAGCTTTGCTCCGGAAGGAAAGCTCACCATGGATATCGTCAGTGATAGTCTTCTCGGTGAAGAAGCAAGGAGAATGGAACGAGGCGAGTTTTTCCATCCCGAGGCAAATGTTGTTGAAAACTGGGATAGGAATGAAGGTCGTGGAAGTAGCAAGAGTCGAGATCCGCACCAATCTCAAAGTCGGTCAAGTCACGCTCAAAGATTACATGCTACTACTGTGGAAGGATAGACCACAAGAAAGTAGAGTGTCGATCCTTCAAGAGAGATTAAAAGGTCGGTAATGTTAAGCCAGACCAAATCAACCGAACGAAGAAGTAAGAAGAGAAGAGCACTACTGTCGTGGCTGCAAAAGAAGAACTGCTTTATCTCGTTGGAGAAGGTAATATCCTAAACATTTCTTATGATGATAGTTGTTGGATTATGGATTCTGGTGCTTCCTTCCATGTCACTTCCCATAGAAGTTTCTTCTTATCCTACCAAAGTGGTGATTTTGGTACGGTGCAAATGAGAAATCAAGATAGGAGCAAAATTGTCACGATAGGAGACATCATCCTAACAACAAGCACTGAATGCAAGCTTGTCCTAAAAGATGTGAGGCACGTCCTATCCATGCTCCTCAATCTTATCTCTGCTGGAAAGCTAGATGATGCTGGTCTGGTGAATTATTTTGGCGAAGGAAAGTGGAAGCTCACCAAAAGAAGTCTAATCATGGCTCAAGGAAAGAAGGAATGATCATTGTACGTGATGCAAGCTAAACTCTGTAAATGAGAGGTAAATACCACCATCGGTGATATGGAGATATGGCATAAATGACTCGGGCACATTAGCGAGAAAGGCCTTCACATGCTCGCTCGAAAGAAACTCCTCCCTGGCGTAAAAGATAAATCACTTGACCCATGTGCTGATTGTTTGGTTGGAAAACAACATAGAGTTGCTTTCCAAAGATCCTCCCCACCCACAAGGAGAAAGAACATTCTAGACCTTGTACACTGATACATCTTTTATTAAGTTTAGAAATTCTTCTCTGAAGAAACAAGATGGAGATATTTTCTAGCTAACCGAAAAGTCTACAACACTCACAATGTAACAAAACTCTACACTCTCTAAGTGTTGATCTATAGCCCGTGTCATTCCTCAAGTGCTCGGAATTACCACATCTCTCTAGGCTTTACTAACGACCCCACTCCTCTTGGAAGCGACCCCATCTCTTACCACACACTCCTCTCGATGTACAAGTGTATTACAAAGTGATCTCACAAATTAAGAACGAATACAACTTTGGTTGTTCTCTACAATGGACGAGAACTCAATTAAGCTCACTCTCAATTGATACAACTCCCCATAACTCAATTATACAATATATGCAAATACAATAAGCTCAATGGTTGCGTGTGTAAGCAATGAGAAAATCAATTATAAACTCAATGTAAAACCCTAGCTTGATGAAAATGATAAACAATAAATAATTAATATAAAACTAGTATTAAGTTTAGAAATTCTTCTCTGAAGAAACAAGATGGAGAGATGGATTAAAATAAAGCTCAAACAATGTAGATGATCTCCTCCACTTGTAAGAGACTTCTTCACAAACAAACTCTTTTAAAACACACTAAACAAACTTTAAAACCCTTGTTAAACTTGTTTAAAATATTCTTGGATTGTTTTAGAACTGAGATATAAGGGGGTATTTATATGAAACCCCAAAGCCAAGAGAAAGCCAAGAAAAGACCAAAAAACCCAACCTAAAAACGGCTCAGGAAACTAGCCGTTGGAATCTGAATGACAGATCAGCGATCGACCGTGGGAATTTCGCGGTCGACCGCGAGCAACTCCAGAAACTATTTTGGGCTCTGGACATCAGTCGGTCGACCGTGGCGGTTGACCGTAAAACTCTCTCGACCGTGACGGTTGATCGTAAAACTCTCTGGACTGCATCCGGTTGACCGTCACGGTCGACCGCGAGCCTCTGAAAAACATCCTGAGTCTCTGGACTCACGGTCGACCGCAAACTGACATATGAAGATTTACAGGTTTGAAGCAGTTTTTTGATTTTGAAACCCTATTTAAAAATATCAAACAAATTCAGAAAAAATATAAAACTTTGGGAAATGATTGTAGACATGATAATACACATGCTACAAAATAGTCCAAAATATGTAAATATAAACACATGAGTTTTGATATTTTAATTTAACCATGTTTTGAAACATTACAAAATAATTTTGTAGACTTAATAAAAGATGTATAAAGTGGATTGGATAAGAGCCATGCAAGAGGAGATATAATCCTTGCACGAGAATAATACTTATGAACTAGTGGAGCTACCAAAAAGGAGATGAGCCTTGAGGAATATGTGGGTGTATCGAATCAAGACCAAAGACAGTAGCTCAAAGCCCCGCTACAAAGCTCGGTTGGTCGTAAAAGGATTCAGTCAAGAGAAAGGTATTGACTTTGAAGAAATATTCTCTCCAGTGGTAAAGATGTCATCCATCCGAGTTGTTCTTGGCCTAGTAGCAGTGCAAGACTTGGAGATCGAGTAGCTCGATGTCATGACAGCATTCCTTTATGGTGATCTAGAGAAAGAGATCGACATGGAGCAGCTTGAGGGGTTCAAAGTTCCAGGCAAAGAAAATTTGGTGTGCCGCCTAACGAAGAATCTATATGGTCTTAAACAAGCACCTAGGCAATGGTACAAGAAGTTTGACTCTTTCATGACAGAACATGATTTCAAAAGGACGAAGAGCGATCATTGTGTCTTTTCATAAAGAGGTATGCATGTGACGACTTTCTCATACTTCTACTCTATGTTGATGATATGTTGATTGTTGGATAAGATCGCATAAAGATAGCTGCTTTGAAGAAATATCTAAGCAAGAGTTTTGCCATGAAAGATTTGGGACCAGCTAGACAAATCCTTGGGATGAGGATCACTCGTGATAGATCAAAGAAGTTGATATGGCTATCCCAAGAGAGGTACATTGAGAAGGTGCTAGAAAGATTCAACATGCACAAAGCAAAGCCGGTAAACACACCACTTGCTGGACACTTCAATATGAGCTCAAAGCAAAGTCCCACAAGTGAGAAAGAAATGGAGGAAATGAAGATGATTTCATATTCATCTGCAGTAGGCAGTCTCATGTATTCAATGATATGCACAAGACCCGATATCGCCTATGCAGTTGGTATTGTTAGACGTTTCTTGGCTAATCCGAGAAAGGAACACTGGGTTGCAGTCAAATGGATCTTCCGGTATCTACACGCTACTTCCAAGAAGTGTTTATGCTTTGGAAATGGAAAACATGTGCTAGAGGGATACACAGATGCAGACTTGGCCGGTGACATTGATTCTAGAAAATCAACGTCAGGATTCCAAACTACTTTTGCAAGGAGAGCTGTTTCCTTACCATCAAAGTTACAAAAGTGCGTTGCATTATCCACTACTAAGGCAGAGTACATCGCATCTACTGAAGCTTGCAAGGAGATGTTGTGGATGAAGAATTTGCTGCTTGAGTTGGGAGTAGATCAAGCCAGGTATGTCTTGAAGTGTGACAACCAAAATGCAATTTACTTAGCAAAGAATTCTACTTTTCATTCTCGCGCAAAGCACATTGATACACGGTATCACTGGATCTGGGAAGCTCTCGAAGAAAAACGCATACATCTTGACAAGGTTCACACAGATGGAAAACTGGTCAGTCATGATGACCAATGTAATATCATCCAAGAAGTTTGAAGATTGCTGTCAATGTGCTGGTTTGCTACTATCTTCCAATTAAGTCGGGAGGGGGAGATTTGTTGGGATCTCTCCTTAATTGGGAAGATTCTAGAAAATTCTAGAACTTTCTGGAGAACTCTAGAGAAGTGTATAATTTTTTAGAAGCGTGTAGAATCCTCTAGAATATTCTAGAGATGTGTGTAGCCTTCTGGAACATTCTAGAAGAGTATGGAATAGAATGGAGGAGTGTAGAGATTTCTTAGAAATCTCCCTCTTAGAAATCTCTAGAAAGTAAAGATATGTGTGGAGAATTCTAGAGAGCTAATCTTCACTATTGGATCAAATTAATACCCACCACTCATTATGAAGGTGGAGTTGTATAAATAGGGGTGGACGCCTTCATTCCTATCCATCCAAAGACAATTGAAAACAATTCACTTCCTAGAGTGAGAGAAAACCTCTAATATAGAGAGTTAGAGAGCCTCTTTGAGAAAGAAGTGAGATAGCTTGAGAGTTCTAATCCTCAAGCTCGAGAGAGCCACCAAAGTAAGTCAGTTTTGTAAAATATAACATTTTGTAATCCTACTATTCTTTTGTATAATGGAAGAACCTCCATATTGGAGGACCATAAACTATTGTGCTCTCATTACTATCTTAATTTATAAGTGCTTATCTTAACTTCACGAGGCGGGAAAGACCGAGTTTTCCCAACAGGATGATACGCATTACCAACGAGTAGCTAGTTATCAACTACTGTTTTGTATATTCAAAGATGTATATTTCAAGGTATTGTGGAATATTCTCTCTCTAGCTCTCTATAGCTGCCAATTATTTATCATCAATTTTTACTAATTCAGCTTTAACTACAGTGGAGAGCAATGTACCAGTAAACTAGATTTGAGTAAAAAGAGAAAGTTCCCACAGTTCGAGCATGGCAACTCGAATTTGCCATTGCCAAAGCATAGAGTCCTTAATCAATCAGATTCGTCTGATCATCATCACCCTCAACTTGCAGAAATCGTCGACGATGAAAACTCTACTGCTCATGTAATTGACAGGGGAACAGATGACACAGGGGCAGTCGAATCCGAAAATGGCAGTAACATCAGCTCCAATATTATTGGAGGTCCCGATAGCAAAACAACATCCCAGGCTGATAGCAATACCGAATCGTCGTATTCTATAGATATCACGGAATTTGATTCAAGCTTGCATGACTTGTACAATGAAAAAGATGACGTGGCACCATTTTCACTAGCATCCGGAGGTTGGAGCTTTGAACAAGGTAATTAAACTCTGATGTTGGTATTCATTTTCATATAATTTTCTATCGTAATTACTTATTTGATAATCCTGGATGCAGAAGCTCGAAAGAGTTCTGCAGACAAGTTGACTATTGATCAAGAGTTTGCGCAGTACTTTTCAGGGTTCATGCGTTAGTAAGAAGAAAATGCTTTTGTATGAAATGATTACTTGGGAGACTTTCTGAATGCTGTGTTGGTTGTAAAATTATGAGTTCAGCTGTAAGCTCAACAGAATGAGGTAAGTAATATTAATTGCCTTTGTTTCCTGTTCATTGCCAGTGACTCAGTATATATTAGCACATTGACAGAGCATAACAAAAACAAGCGGTAGCTCAAGTTTATGAATGCAATATAGTACGAATGAATTCATGAAATCATGAGCACATGTATATGTCCAAGTATTTTGGATCTGTGTTCGGGCTTCTGGCTGTTGAGGATCAAGATGTATCGAACTCTTCTTTCC